ACAACAACAACAACAACAACAACAACAACAACAACAACAACACCAGCAGCAGCAGCAGCAACAACAACAACAACAACAACAACACCAGCAGCAGCAGCAGCAGCAGCAGCAACAACAACAACAGCAATACTATCAACAGAGCTGATGCTAAGATGTGGCAGACAAGTTTTGGGGGCTTACATGCAAGGGACTCCTACCAAGTAGCCTGTCAAAGCATGTGGCTTAGGTCGGCCAGCCTTCCGTGCTCTTCCTGGATGAGCCCACAAGTGGACTGGACCGCCTCCAGAACAGTTTAGGGGTTTAGGGTTTAGGGTATAGCAAAGCTCTTTAGGCCGAGTCAAAGCCCCCATTTCTTCAGCATTTGGGATGGGCAAAGCTTCTCCCGAAACCAGCTGCGAGGATGCGGCGGCAGCTCACTCCATTGTGAAGCTTCTATGTGGACGATCGCGGCAGCACTGCACCACTGTGGCCGTGATCCACCAGCCCCGCTGGCAGACTCTGGTCACGCCCTCAGCATGTCGCAATCCATCCAGGATGCCAAGGTCTTATCACCAGAGAGGGCTCGTGGCCTTCATGGCACACGAGCATGCGAGCGACTAAAGATATGAACCTGCGTAATTAATATCCGCAGGGTTAGTCATATCATTGGCACCAAGGAGTTCTTTGACAATGTTGTCCTTTTGGCCACTGGTGGCTACCTGGTCTATTCCGGACCTGTTGCCGGTTGCGTTGACTACTTTGAGAAGGTGCTGGAAGCTCCCATTCCCAGCATGGCCAACCCAGCAGATATATTCCTCGATTTCATAGATAGCTCCAGCAGCGAAAGAGACGAGACGCTGCAACTGTCGGTCGATGAGTTGGCCGCCAAATGGGAAGGCTTCCGAGGAGAGACATTCCAAAAACCCTGAACCTTAACTTAGCCCTAAGCCCCTCCGAACTCCAGGCCCGAAGCCCCATCCTCAAAACCCTAAAAACGATAACCCCTAAAACACCTAAAACCCCTAACACCTTAAAACCCTAAAAACCCTAAAAGCCTCCGAGGAGAGTCATCAGCTTCAGGATCCTTCCGCACAGCCTTGGGCGAGGAGTTCCTGCCTCTGTCTTCATATGAGAGCCTGTGCTCGACAGAACTGCGTTGCAAGTCTTGGGGTCTTTGAGTATGTGCTTCCTATACCAAGAATGACTGACTGAGAGATGCCTTGGACGTTTAGGGTATGGGGTGGAAGGGTTAGAGTCGAGGGTTTAGGGTCTAAGGTTTAGGGGTACCTTGGGCCTATAAGAACTTATAACCATACTTGCTAAGCCCCTTGACCCCCTAAGTAGATTGCAACTCCCATCGCCAGGCCCCGTATCCTAAATCCTAAACGCGACCGATAATCCCTGCAATGCGGGCTCGTCCTTGCGAAATAGGAAAACAAGGCAAAAACCCTATAGAGCGTTGTAGACCCAGGAAGTTCCGCCCCGGCATTTCCGACACCTTCTGGACACTTTACTTGAGATGCTCTTTGCAGCTCTGCCGTTCCTGGAGGCAGCGCCTCTCCAACCTGGGCCTTGTGGCCCTGTTCCTTTGCGTTGTGCGTGCGCTCCTGGGGGACGATGGAGATTTCGAAGATGTTCTGGTGAAGTTGGGGATCGCACAGAACATGCTGATGCTCCCTGTGTGCATCCACAGCATGAATGTGTTCAGCTGCGACCGCTTGGAGCGAAAGCGAGAGGACACTGCTGGAATTCCCATACTCTCGCAATATCTGGCGAAGGACTTCTGCCATTTTGCGGAGTTGCTACTCTTTGCGGTTCTGTGGACAGGCAAGGTCTTTTGCACCGATAAGCCCTTCCGACTTCCTTCCCAGATTACAGGTTCCCCTGCCGAGCATTTCTGCTCTCTCAAGTTTCCAAAGCCTGCCACGCCCCATCCCACACAGGCAGGCGTTATCAGCAAGACATGTGGAAGTAAGAGTTTCGACGATCACAATCACGACGAGTAATAAAGTAATATGTAGTTGGAATAGCAAAGAATGCCCGTGGTAGGTGAATGGAAGTATTTACTGATTCTTCAGAGCTCTAAACTCGGTATATTAGGCGCGAGGCAGGAACCTCTCCCTTTGTGGTTTCGTGCTGTGACTTCCGGTGGTTCAGGTTCAAGGATCGGACCACTACACCCCTTAATCCAGGAACACTCCTGATATTATATATCTCGGGATGCTTCAAGTATGTAGTCGAATCTATTAGACATGCTTAGACAGCGAGGAACTTCGTGAATATACATGCACACATGTGAACATGCATACATACATACATGCATGCATACATACATATACATACATTTAGAGATATGCACGTATACATATTCATACAGACATATACACACATATAAAGTTATATATATATATGTGCATGTGACTCTCCATTAGCATAAAATGTATGTACTTGTCTGTGCAAATGAACTTGTACTTCTGCGCTCGTTTATAGTTGTATACCCTAAACCCTAAACACAAATATCTGCATGAAGAAAAAGAGAGAGAGAGAGAGACAGAGAGAGAGAGCAACAGAGAAAAGA